GATGTACTCCTGTCGACAGTGATGGCGGCATGCTAGAAAAAATCAAGTCGTGTCAAAAATGTGCTGTATGATTCATTCATGTTAGATAGAAACAAATAGAGATATTTCAGCAAAACCATAGTCTACTCCGTTGAGTGAAATAACTGCTCTGGCGCCTATTCAATTAAGTTTTTTTGCTGAAAAATATTCTCAGTGTGTGGTGTCTGATCTCTTTTTCGTTTTATGTTCAATCAATGATGTTTTGTGTACCTACTCCTACCCGGATGATCTGAATAATACCGTATACCTTTATGCAGAGACCAAGAAGGACTGACTAGCTAATTAAGACAAGGTCATATTGACATGAGCAGATTTATAATGGAGGCGAACAAAGGTGATGTGGAAATGAAATCCAGGCGGGTATGCAATGGGCATTGTGTGGGAAACGCTCGGTATTAATTAAACTAATGATTGTCATCCAACCCGTCCGAATGGCCAGGTGTATTTGTGAGTATTTGCAATGATATTGAAGGTGACTTTCACATGGAGAAAATTTCGGAGGAAAAATGTATTTTCACGGTACTAGGTATACCGGGTGACAACGAAATTATTGGCCATAGGCGTCATTCAGTTGTTTTTCAAATTAGACATTTGACATTTAGTGTCTACTTTATCTTCGTCTCATTCTCATAGTCATTGTTCTAATTTGAGTCGTCAAACCAAGTGGATTCCGCACATACGCATTATAGCACGTTTCCACCACTAGCTGTAGAACCAATACCATGATTTACTCATATTCAAGGCATAAAGGGTGCTGTTGCTTATTCTACCAAGATAGTTTTCGCCATTTTATGAACTACTAGACAATAAAGACATAGCCATATCTGTCATAATTAACCCGAATTCACTGTTCTGATGCGAGATTCGCAGGAATCGCACTCGAATCTAATGGGTTCATATTATGCTGTCATATGATAACTAGATTACAATCAGAATTGAATAGAAGTGCTTTATAGTGACAATAGGTATCTATATTTCAGTTTCACAGAACTACGAGGATTGTCATATATTTCTAGTGGCGAAAAAATTTTATATACACCATTTTAGTTAAAGAATATTGAACCATAAATCTACCGGCTGAAGCTTTTTCCCGAATATATATCACATATATATATATATATACTGTTGATGGCTTTTGTTGTGCTATAGGTAGTTCCGAAAAGTGAGTCAATAATACCGTCTCCGAGAAAGAACTGCAAGTCCTTTTATCTTCCATTCAATTTCGCGGTCACGTATATTACTAAACAAAAACAACCACTAAATTCGCATTTTTTTGAAATCAGATCACAGAATTAGACTGACAGAAGTGACATCAGATATTTGATTACTTCAAAAGAATGATGAAGATGCCTACAACGCAGGTGTCCCTACTGTTGAAACTTAAAATTTCACGTCGATAATTTTCAGATTTCAAAATAATGTAATATCTTCTCAATATTGGTTCGTCCTTTCTTCTGTCACAGAGAACAATAGTGTATTATACACGGGGAAAATATTAGATTCCAGCTCACGGTTTTTTGTCTCCCTCCGCTACGCGTCGGGAGACAACACAACCTGGAGGTAAAATCTACTATTTTTTCCCTTGTATAATAAATAACTATTGTCTCTGGGTAATGATGATATTCTTCACTACCTAGATGTATGAATAACTATATTATAGATTTGTTGTCACAGTCCTGAGAATGTGACCTTGAGAGTTCCGAATTCTCAACTTTAATGCTAGGACGTTAGTGAGCATTACTTTATTGACAAATGAAAACTTTTCTTCATTTTCATATTTTGTGTGATTATTGAAGTAATCCATTATTTTTCAACAAAGAAAGTTTTGTTACATTTCTGTCACTGACCAAGTGTTCACTGTCATTAGTATCATTTGTCGAAGTCCTGAGATCTAATATCATGAGTTGTATGAATAGTCATACCCTTATTATTCAAGATAAAGACTGAGACTGACACTGAGACATGAGATGATGACAAAATTGACTAAATAATCTCTCAAATAGAAGATATAGTTCGTTAAAACCCATATTTTAGTGAATTTTGTCGAAGTCCTATAAGACCATATATCAGAGTTGTATAAATAATCATATCCTTATTCTTTGAGATATATACTGAGACTGGGAATGGAGACTTGAGATAGAGGCGAAGTTGACTAAATAGACTCTTGGATAGAAAATATAGTTTTATCATCTCTTGGAGCACACGAAAGGTAATTCCTATAATGTTCGTAGAACATCGCGCTTACCTAGAGAGGATAGGGAAGAGAGGTAGGTTTTAGGATTTTTTTGAACTTCTGGAGGTTATGAGTCCTTGGGAATACTTCCATTGGAGAATAATTTCAAAGCTTCGCCGTTCTATTATAGGCGAACGAGTTTTGGTAGAGTGTTGTTGGACATTTTTTGAGGTCAATAACGAAGAGATGTGCTGACTGGGCTTGTCGTGTTCATCTGACTGGTATTGCTGGTGAGGAAATATATAGTTCCAAAAACGCATATTCTCTATGAAAAAACAATCGGATATCACTTCCGCTTTCACCGAAATAGGCCTAGGTTGAGGATTTCGAATGGAACTCTGTAGATATATATTCATGCGACATTCGATATAGATTGAAAAATAGGTTATTCAATGACTTACAAAATCTTAACATTTGTTTTCAAAATAGAGGCGCAGATGAGAATTTGTCTAAAATCGTTATGACAACACTGTGACTTCATTGATCGAATTTTTGTCAAGAAACCTAGCTTCAGACAGTATTTGCATGGATTTTTCTGATAATTCTCAAAGAAATAACAGTACCTATAACACAAAGTCAGTCGACCACAAAAATTTCATTAACAAATCAAGTGTGTGACTATTGTTTCGGTTCAACGGCCATCTTCAGACATATAAAATACCTAAGAAGACATGTGGAGAAAAATTTACTGAAATTTAGGTCAAAATCCAGAAAATCAGGCAGGTAATTGAGTATATTGCTATTCGAATCGACTAAACAGCCAAAAGAACAAACCAATGATGCAATTCAACATCGATAAGAGCAGGAATTGAAATTTGAAATTATAAATCAAAATTCACTTAACAAGAGTTTCATCATCAGTGATGATTCATAATCTCAAATTTCAATTTTGATTTGCATTAATGATTTGTTCTTTTGGCTGTTTTGAGGAATCATATCTTCGATTCAAATGGCAAAAGTCTAACAAAAAACAACTGAATAAAGCCCCGATTGCCAATGATCTCGCGTCACTTGGTATATATTATGTGTTATGCATCCTGGCGCATCCTGGGTAGCTTTGCTTGGTAGCAAAGTTGTCTTACTTCAGATCTTAGATAAGCATTTGAAGAGAACGGCGTTTATTACCCTGATGTAAAAGAAATTGCCTTTTCGGCATGATAAGCAACATTGATTCATCTGAGCCGAAATTTGAATAATGTACAGAAGCCTTCAAATATTTGAAAGTTCCACCATGATAACTTTGTTTATTCATGAGTTGGAGTGTTTTAGTATTTTGCCGTTATAAATGAGGATGCACTATGAGACACATCTCACGCATATTCCAATGAATTACATCTTATACAAATTGCATTTGTTTATTTCCATATTTTGTAAAAGAGCACTCCTCCTTCAGACTCAGGCTCTTTTGCCAAAATATCAAAATAAACTCTTGCAATTTCTTGATAACACGCTTTCTTGCAAAATTATCGATAATTTTTATATCGGTAATTGCCCTGCAGAGCAAAGATTGCACTGCGAAGAGATCCCGTCGCTATAACAACACAAAAATAAATGTCAGATGGACTTCAAAAAGTGAAAAAATGTCGCATTCTGGTGACTGCTCCATAAAATCTATCCAGGGAAGAAAATGAAAGTGACCCAAAATATACCAAATCCAACAGTCAGAATTCCTTTATTCGTGAGATATTCCAATAAATCACATTTGTGTATAAAAATTACCAGATAATTTTGCATTCAAGCATGTTGTTATCTTATACAAATTACATTCGTTTATTTTCATATTTTGTAAAAGAGCACTCCTAATTAGACTCAGGCTCTTTCGCCAAAATATCAAAATATCCTCTTTCAATTTATAGATAACACCATTTTGTCTTGCAAAATTATGGGTAATTTTCCTACTATTCCTCAAACTGTGACAATGATATAATGTACGAAACAGAGATATATCAGGTGGTCCACAAGGGCGTCGATAAGAGGGGGGAAGGTTATGGGAGTAATTACCCCTCCCCCCCCTCAAGAATGATAATAATTAGGTACTTGATTTTTATATTTTTATATGAAATTCAATAATAATTGAGATAGATAATAAATATAAAAGGCAATTTATGAATGTTTGATTATAATGATTCGTTTGTCCAAAGAAGTTTGATAGTTGTATTAGATGATAATCAAAAATTGAATATGCATGGTGATCCACGTTTAAGAAGTGACGTCCAAGACAGTTTTTTTGAAATGAAACACTTATCAAAAATACATCACACACAGGATGTGTAAACAGTCGTGCATGCTTAAATTCTGTGCTCTCATAAAGTAGAAGCACTAGAAGGAGAATTCGTAAAAGGTTAAACGAATAATTTTCGAAAAGAACGCTCGAAGCCATCGAATTTCATTTTCATTCAGGCATTCTTTCGAACTTCAAATGGAATGCCATGTGTATAAACAGATTCATTCAAACATTTCAGTGGTCTCCAACCACCACTTAAATATTCTGGACTCTATGTCCCAATTATTTCAAAGTCATATGACGTCAATGACTAAAAATTACAAGCTTGTTGTGTGGGTGTATAATAATTGTTTTCGTGAACCCAGCGTATACCAAGAGGATTGAATCTGTTGCATGATAATTGAGACGTTCATAATATTTTATCCACTCTATAGGACATCGTCCCTATTCTGATCAATATGATAAATGGCGTGAATTATTTTGAATATATATGTTTTGTTTCAGCTGGCAGAAGTGGTGTTCGTTACACAGTTTATTCTGGTGATCCAGGAGGCTACTTCAACATCAATCCCATCACGGGAGCCATCATCACAGCTTCAAATCTCGACCACGAAACGAAATCCAGCGTTCTTTTGAACATTCAGGCTACAAGTGGCGATCCTCCAGTATATGGCCATACACAAGTAAGTTATTCTTTTATACCACGAATCATTGATGAAATAAAGCTCCAGTGTACGCACTTCAATCTTTTCCTGTTTTACAATTCCTTGATTTTCGCCTACTTCGATAAACATAACATGGCGTGGGTGAATCTCTCTAAGTTTAGTCTGGTGTCGTACCAAAATTACAGGTATCAATGTGACAATTGTGACCGAAGTGTGACTATAATGAAGATAGGGAATACAGTTTGCGATTTAGCCGCATCGAGGTTGGTAGAACTGATGTTGATCATGAGTTCTACCTACCGTAAGCCGCACTAGGAATCGCGCCATCTTACATTCAATATGTGAACCCCACGCCATCGTCTGAAATTCAATTGTTTATATCAAGAACCAGACTGACGAAACAAATGAAGAGGTAGCGCACCAGAGGTTTATTTCATCAATCACAAATCTATATAGTGTTCCGCTTCGGGTGTTCTCTTTTCATGAAGCAAGGGCGGTTCTATATACGGGGGAGGTGGTAGGAATGGTAATATCCCCCCAGAGCATCACTATAGATCAATTTTTCGAATTTCATTCATAGACAAAATGGTGGAAATAAAAAAAAAAATAATAGTCAATTAAATTTCAGAAATCCAATTGACTATTCCGAAATATATTTGACTTTTTCTGATATACAAGGGACTATTCTGAAACACTATAATTGATACTGCCTGAAATTCAAGTGACTATTCTGAAATACAATTGAAGCTTCCTGAAATTGAATTGTAGTTGTCATTCTCCTATATGTATAAAGAAAATGTATTAAATTTTTTGTTCGTGTTTAATGAATATATACATTCAGACAAATATGTTATGAGTCAGTATTAATGTAAAGAGAACAAGTACAGTGTCATGGCTATAAGGTTGAGGCCATTGGGCTTTGAGAGATTCATTGGAACACAACAGACAAATGTGCCGAATATGAAAATTTTAATGAATTGTATAAGACATTCATTTTCGTAACAGTGGCATTTCTGATCAATGTTTTGGAAGCCAAATCCGACGGATTGAAACTCATGAATTGTAATTCCGATTCTCAGGTCCACATCGAAATAGAAGACGTCAACGACAACGCCCCGGAATTCGAGTCCCCCACCGTCCGCATATCGGTCCCCGAAAACGTCGAGATCGGCTCTGCAATCTTCTCGGCCCACGCCAACGACAGGGACTCCGGCCCCAACGGCGTCGTCAAATACAAGATCGGCAACGCCGCGTACGGCAACAGCGCGTACGGTGGCCTCTTCAAGGTCGACCCCGACCAGGGCGACCTGACGATGGCCGGACGGCTGGATTACGAAACGTCGCAGCGGCACACGATCGTCATCACGGCGACGGACATGGGGAATCCCCCGCTCTCAGCCAACTTGACAGTGTTCGTCGAGGTCCAGGATGTTAATGATAATCCGCCTGTGTTCGAGAGGAACGAGTATTCGCTCAGTATTCTGGAGTCGTCGCCTGTCAATACGCAGGTTAGTGCTCACTGTTTCTTAGTACTGTCAAACGGGGTTGAGTGAACCATAGTGGGTGAAATGCGTCAGTCGGGTGTTTCAGTACAAAAGAGGGTTCTGTTTGCTCCAGCCACGAGATTGAAACGTTTTCGTGTCCCAGTCTTCTCGCCAGTTCGTCTTAGTAAGGGAAGGAGGTGTTTCGCCATACTTAAAGAAACACGAAAGTATCACGAACAAACTTTGGGCTCTAAAAGACTTTTCTTCTTCTACAAAACTTTGTGGAGGCACTAACTTCAAAATTTTATTCAATTTCCTGCTCTAATTGTGTTTGATAGTTATTACTGAACAAACATTTGATGAAATGTTTGCCAAAAATGTTTAGTGAAATTTCACCTCTTTTTTACTTTGAAGTATGGTCACGATAATGGGTAATATGAATCATTCTAATTTCTATGAAAGTGGTGTTTATGTTTTGTGATTGGTGATTTCTCATGTTATATCTTGATGTACTATGAATTAATTATCAATTTCTGATGATTGATTTAAGCATGCCGAAAAATAATATATTATTAAAATGCCATCACAAAAGAAGAGAAGAACATTTTTTTTATTTACTTCACCTTTGATTATTTTCAATGAGTTTTCACGCGTTTTAAATGCATGATTCATTTTCCCTCAAAGTGGTGGGTGGAATGATGAATCAGATTTTACAAAAAAAATAAAATTAAGACCCTTTCAAAAATTTTCAAAATCATTCTTGACTTGAGCCATTCGAAGAGGGTGCCAGGACTTACATTATTTTGTGTATATTTTTTCTTGTCCCAATACTCATTGAAAAAACCTGGAAAGCCCCTTTTTTATTAACTCAACCCCGTTTGACGGTACCTATACAGGCTGATTCACGGTGGATGGTGGATGGAAGTAAGTGCCTCGAATTATCAGTTGTGTTCTATCGACCTAAAATATTCTCAGCATTGCGACGTTGCCGCTTATATTGGAAAGTAGCAACAGATTTTTTAAATGGGACACCCTGTATATTATTCCATTTTCAGATCCTTCCTGAAGAGCTGATTTCATTAACCTATAACACTTGGGGTCTAGCAGTGATAATTACAGAGTTATAGGATGTGAAAAATCGAGATTTTTCAACTTTAGGATTTTTTTGGGTGGAAACTATTCATAATTGGTCAAAACGGTTCTCATGTCCCTATCTTAACTTTTCACGTACTTTCAATCGATATTTAATTTAAATATATACAGGGTGGTTCAGAATTAAGATTTTTGACCACCCTGTATCTATTTTAATTAAATATCAATTGATAGTACATGAAAAGTTGGGAAAGGAATATGGAAACCGTTTTGACCAATTATAAATAGTTTGCTTTTGTGTGTATGATAAATTGACATTCATCATACAGGGCGTGGAAATGAATTCTGAATTGAGACTCTATCACGAATCTGCGATTAGAGGCCTATAAAAATCACAAGTTTCCATCGTTCAAGTTTGAACCCCCTGATTGGGTAAAGTGTTGAAAAGGAATATTCTCAGATAAATTATGAACATACAAAAAAAATGGATATATATTTATATAAAGCAATACATTGAGAATTCGCATTCTCTATGTGATGAGAATATTTACTCTTTTTCAGTTAATTCGACACCAAAAATTCTCAAAGATGAAAAATCTCGATTTTTCACACCCTATATCATCATTCCCGCTGGACCCCAAGTGTGATGGATCGATGAAATCAGCTTTTCAGGGAGAATCTAAAAATGCAATAAAATACAGGGTGTCCCATTGAAAAAATCAAACTTGTTGCTACTTTTCAATATAAGCGGCAACGTCGCAGCGCTGAGAATATTTTAGGTCGATAGAACACAATTGATTATTCAAGGCACCAACTTTTCAGAATAATCCTGAGTTGCGTTCTCCAGAAACGTCTAATGTGCCATTTACCGTGAATCAGCCTGTATATGCATTATCAACTCCCAATTAGGACTAATAATTTTGAAAATCGGAACAATCATCTTCAAATTAGAACAAGATGATTCAGCATGGACTTTCCAGAAAATTATACCAAACTCGCAACAAAGACCTCATTCCATAGAAACACAGTGGCCAAATATGTACATGCGTCCACTTATTTTCAAATTTCATAAAGTAAAAAGCACTTCACATAACCATATAAATCAAATTAAGATCATCAGGAATTATTCTCTTGGCTTCATACCTAGCGCAATTTTATGTTATTCAATTTTTTTATCTCTTAGAGCGCACGAAAGGAAATTCCTTTGATGTTCAAGAAACATAGGGAGGATAGGGATAAGAGGTAGGTGTTGGTATTTTTGTGAACTTTTGGATGTTATAAGTTCTTGGGAATTCTTCCATTAGCAAAGAATTTCAAAGCTTCGCCGTTCTATAGACACACGAGTTTCAGTAAAGTATCGTCGTTCGACATATTTCAAGGTTGACTGTGGACGGATGTTCTGACTGAGTGGTATTGCTACTGATGGAATGATAGCAGAGATTTCTGAGTTACATCTTCCGTGAAAGTATCTATAGAAAAGTATAGTGTGTTCCAATCAAATAGAAGTATTAGTGAGTGTGACATCACCCACCAGGCGGATGAATCTCCTTTGGATGGAATCTAAGAGCATCAGCATATTTTTAGGTGCTATATGTATAGGTATACAATGATGGCCTAATTCATAGATGAAAACCCATCATGGTCATCTCCACAACTTTTATTGAAATGATAAAATATCTATCGTAACGGAACTTGTTTCGGACTTGAATGAGCCTATCATCAGCAAAGAAAAAGTATCATTGTTCTAGAAAAATCGGTATTGACTTAGGATATAGATTCAATTATCAGATACTTAGTAGGTACTCACATGGTAATAAAAGTACTGAGTAATTATTGCATCTAAATCCTTAGTCAATACCGATTTTTTCAAAACTATAATACTTTCTATTGACTGATGATGGGCTTATATGAGCCTGAAACATGTTCCGTTACGATTGATCTTTGATCATTCTAATAAAAGTTGCAGAGATGACTTTGGTTTTCATTTATGAACTAGACCACTCCACTTTGAGTTACCGTGGACTTCTTCCGAAGATGTCGTAATATTCTTCAGCAATTTTGGTGATCCTTTCTCATTTCCATTATCCCGATTTCCGATTCATCACCCATCGATACGCAACTAGCTAAACTAACATTCTTCAAAAACGATCCTGAATTTTCACAATTCCGAATAAATTAGTCGATTAGAAAGTAGTAGCAGAATATTCCATTGAAAATTCACTTGAATCGTAGAAGCTGTTGAAAAGTTATTACCAAAAGATATTAGTGAAGAAGAAGATACCAGTTTTGATGGTCATTTGGTATCAACTTCGAGAGCCACTTGTTTTTGAATGGGCAGTAAACTCTAAATCATAAAATGTGATTTATGTTCATTCGTATATCCTTAAACGAAGATCATTTATTTCCTTCTGATTATACTTGCTTTGTGTTTGTTCGTCGAGTACCTATAAGTAGTTAATCGTAGAAAATGAAGAAATAAAGCAAGAAAGTAGTTTCCTTATACACAATAGGACGATAGTACTGTCAATACTGCGTTCTCTTTTAGAATTCTCATTTCATTATAGGAAACTAAGAACTTACTTACGAAGGCAGGTCAACGCTGTTAATGACGTTCTTGCTGAAATCACAGCATGGGGAACCACCAACCTAGTCAAATTCAACGTCACCAAAACTCAATCCTGTATTTTCTCTAGAAAGGCGGAAAAAATCAAGTTCGATCAATCGCGAGAGCTGCTTCACAAAAACTCGGAATTTTATAAGCATTTACAAAACTTCATGTTTAGTTAGTGATGGAAATTAGCAAGGAATATACCTTGGTGCCATCATTCTAGCGTATTCAGTCTATTGCATGAAAAGTTGATTTCCCATAAAACCACTGAGATAAATAATATGATCTTACTCTTTATAGAATGTTACGGTTGAGTTGAACATACATTCATTCTCCTGTTCAGAATTGATAGATATTCATGAATTACAATGCTCAAGTAAGAATTATTGAGACCGTTGAAATCAATTATTAATCAATTGATCATCATAAGTAGAATTGAATAATTCAAGGTAGGTAAATCAACTCGTATACATTATGTTCTTCAGAAATCAGTGTACAGTACTATATCTGACTTCTGATCGAAGTACCCCTGTATTTCTTAATTATTGATTATTGATCAGGTTAGGTAAGGTATGGGTGTTTCGAAATTCGACCGACAACGTTTGACAGGTGATAGCCCTCGTGATTTCATAATCATTGAGATAGGAACATTCGGTCTTCAAGTGTTCAGTTCTCGAGATACAGGGCGTTGAAGTTGAGAAATGAAAATAGTTGTTTCGCAATATCTCAAGAATAATTGAATATAATGCATTCAACTTCGGTATATGGTTTCATCTTTGAATGGGCCATTTTTTGACCTGGAAGCCATTCCGGACATTTTGTCCAGTGGTGCCCTACAGGGGGTTGTGGCATTTTTTCCTTCCATATTTTCTACGCCACTGATTGAATTTCGATTATTTCCAATTCCTCGAATTCATTGTTCAATTTTGTTCAGAAAATGCATCACCTTCAACTGAGCTGAAATAAACAGTTTTCGAGATATTCGACCCAAAATAGAAGATTGCATAGTAATATTTCATCATTTTCAGTAGTAGAAAATTGCAAAAATATTTTTCTGGTGTTGAGTAGATTAGATACTATTCAGATCTCATGCTATAGCTGAACAGAAATAGTTATTCCACGCATGAAGAGAGAACAAAAATGTTCGTAATTTTCTAATACTGAGGAAGATGAAAAATTACTATGCAAACTTCTATTTTGGGTAAAATATCTCGATAACTGTTCATTTTAGCTTAGTTGAAGGTGATGCACTTTTTCAACATAATTGAACAATCAATTCGAGAAATCAGAAATAATTGAAATTTCATCAGTGGCGTAGAAAATATGTGCGGAAAAGTTATCACAACCCTCTGTAGCGCACCTCTGGATAAAATTCTCAAACCATATACCGAATTTGAATGCATTTAATTCAATTTTTCATGAGATATCGAGAAAAAACTATTTTAATTTCTCAACTTCAACGCCCTATATCTCGAGAACTGAACACTTCAAGACCGTCTGTCCCTATCTCAGTGATTATGAAATCACGAGGGCTATCACCTGTCAAGCGTTGTCGGTCGAATTTCGAAACACCCTGTATTATTCAATAATTATATAAAATAATCACTAGAGAAATTGATCTCGCTAGTATTCATGGAATCATCGATATTTATGAAAAATTATATTTGGAGAAGGAATATTTCCACATTGTACTAGGTTGGATTAGTACTCACTGAAGGTGAAAATGTTACAATAACAGTATATATTTTCAAAATAACATAATATTCTCTCGATACAATGACCCATTTTATTTGACCAACTAGTTATGCTTGAAAAACATTTTGTTGAATTTCCAACATTTATCATTGCTTTCTTCCAAACAATATTTGATAATAATTTGATGGTACACGAAAAAAAAAAATTTTTTTTGCAACAACGAAACTATTCTGGTATTTTTTGTGTTGAATTGAATACATTTTCGCGAGATTTACAAAATATATTGATCGCAAATAAGCAACATATTCGGAAGGACAAAGAATTTCAATTGAAATATTTGACATGAACATTTTCCAAAATATCATTTTATCACGCTTCTGCATGGCTGTACGACAGCTAGGATACAAACCCCAAGTGTTTCTGAAATTAGCTCTTTTAATTACTTCTTATTCTGGAACGTATCACTAGAAGTCTACTAAAAATACTGGTAATTGAAAAATCACTTAACAATACCATAAGGCGTTGAGGAACAATAGACCATTGTTTGTTTTCTTCCAGTCTGGTACGGTCTCATGCAAATTTTTGAATGATGAGGAGATATTTGCCACGTTGATTATACACTTCATCTCTTCAGTTCATGAAGATTTATGGCATTCTGCTCTCATCGGTATGTGAATAGGATCATCAAAGACATACATACAAGAAAGTGTTTCTCTTGAAGAAATGTAGTCTGTATAAGTAGTGAATAATACAATTTATTTATATTTCAAGGGAGGAATGATCGAAGTCATTCCTTCCTTCCTTTGAAAAATTTCACTCCACTTTGAGCAACATAATGGACTTCTACCAAAGATTGAAATATGTTTCCGGAAATGAGATGAAATGCAGATTATATTATTTCAAGCAGCTGCCATGGCTGCGGCTATTGATGTCTTGTTGATGAAAACTTGATAACTGACAGAAAGTTATAGAACAATGAAAGAAAATTCGAAGTTGACAACTGACATGACATACAATAGATGACATATGTCAAAGAAATTGTCAAAAGAATATTGTTGGATACAATTAATGAAGGTAAACAATAGAGATTGATATTTTTTCCGACTATTCAACTATCTTTGTGAACAAACTCAAGATACACTTTGTATCAGCGTCCATTTGATTATGTTGAACAACAATTCTTCTCATATATATATATAATCTTTGCACTTTATAATGGATTTGATATGTGAATACTGTCTCTGTTCATATTCATGTTTATGAAAAAAAAAATTGTGATTCATTATGCAAGGGAAAAGAAGTAGATTTTAGCTCCAGGTTGTGTTGTTGGAGACAAAAAACCGTGAGGTATAATCAAATATTTTTCCCGTGTATAACACACTATTTTTTTCTGTGATAGGAAAAAGGACGAATCAATATTGAGAAGATATTATATTATATCAAAATCAGGAAATTATTGACGTGAAATTTTGAGTTTTTAACAGGAATGAAACCTGCGTTGCAGGCATCTTCATCATTTTTTTGGAGTAATCAAATATCTGACAGTCTAATTCTGAGATTTGATTATGAAAAATTGCGAATTCAGTAGTTGTTTAGTAATTTTCGTAACCGCGAAGTCGAATGGGAGGTAAAAGGATTTCTGGGAAATATAGCACAACAAGAGCCATCAACAGTGTATACATATATATATAAATATATGTGATATATATGTGGGAAAAAAGTACTCACTTTTTTCCCGTGGGAAAAAATTGATTTATGAAAACTGGCATTTTATAACCCGTCAACAGAGATGAAATTTCAAATCTTTCACCCGTCCGTTTAGGGACATTCATTGGAAATTTTCGACCATACTGCACGTGCAGATTTAATTGAATGATGGACGTCCATTGGACTTTCCTCTATACATCCTTCGGTCGAATCGAAATAAACCACGATATAATTATACCATTTGTCAATTGAATAATTCTTCACAATCGAATAGTGAGATTATCATATTTTTAATTTCGTGTGATATAAAGAAAAAAATAATTTGAAGGCAGCAAATGTTTCGGAGCGGTACCTTTTTTATTGACAGAGGAACTGCGGAATATGCCCTCTAGCTAAAAGTGCATCCAAAAAACTTGGTTTTCTGTTTCATGCCAGGGGCTATTTCACTTCCAGTCAGCTGCTTATGATCTATAAGGTACTGATTCAACCTGTCCCCGAATACTGTTCTTATATTTGGAGTGCAGCACCCAAACATACCCTGAAACTGTTGGATTCTGTCCAAAGGGCAATTCGTCTCGTGAGTGATGCCTCGCTCACAAACTCACTCACTTTTCTGGAACACCCAAGAAAAGTTGGCGATCTGGATCTATTTTATAGATATTTTCATGGACGATGCTCCTCTGAAATATCAACAAATGTTCCTCCCTTGACAGTCCCCGCGAGATTAACCCGTCGAGTTGGGGCTTCGCGCCCCTTATTCGTGGTCACTTTGAAGACCTGCAGAATATCTCTTTCCAAAGACTCGTTCATCCAACGAACAGCGAGGCTGTGGAACACATTGCCATGGGAGGTGTTTTCCCGAGGCATATAACCTCCAGAAATTCAAGAAGAACACCAATATACCTACCTTAATTTCCTTGGTTCTCATGATGTTCTCTGAACATTACAGGATATCCCTTTTCGTGGGAACCAGAACATAAAAAAAGCATAATGGCCAGTGGAGTAGCGTAGTTTTTAGTATTCATTTATCTCTTGCAGATTCTCCAACTGACCGCAGTGGACGCGGACACCGGCAACAACGCACGCTTGACCTACCGCATTCTCCGCTCCAACCACTCCCAGGTCTTTGGAGTGTTCCCCAACAGCGGCTGGCTCTATCTCAAGGCACCCCTGGACAGGGAGGAGCAGGAGGAGTACACTCTGACCGTGGCCGCCACAGACAACGGGACTCCCTCCGAGACCGCCACCACCAAGGTATGCATTCATTATTCCAAATTTTTTGGGATTTTCTCTCCTCGTTTCTATAAAATTAAAATATGAATATTTTTTCAATATACGTGTAGTAAGGACAAATCAGATGATTTGCCTCAAAATGTCACTGCGTTTAAATAATTTTCCTATCAGAGAGCCTAAAAGAAAAATTCACTTGCTTGTCAGTGACAATTTGTATTGAAAAAAGTTTGGAGAAGAAAAATAAAGGTATATAGAAAAAAATATCAAATTTTCACATATCTTTGGACGTTTCGGAATCGATTCTGCTCCCGTTTTCAACATAAGGAATGATTATTTCAATAGCTTAGTCGTATCTGTCTTGAAGCTTTTCAGTTTTCATTGACAATTGGTGACGTTGGCAATCAAATGAGTTACAGGATGTTTTCATTAATTAATCTTGAATTTACCATTTTCATGTTCAGATTTCAGAAGTGAATACCATGTTCTGTCTATATCAACTGAACAAGAAGCAATGCTATTGTCTCGGTACACAAGAATACAAGCAGATTCCTTGATTTTTCTCTTCTGGTTGTTATTTTCTTTTTCAATGATTTTAATACTATTCCACCCTGCCATATGTTGTCCGTCTTCAGGAATAACATAAGTACAATATAAAGAAAAGACACATTAATAGATGGAAACTAGCTGAACATATCCTTACTGAACGCGAATATCTTGGCAGTCGTTTGAATTAACCGTATCGAACCCGGTATCGATGAATTCGTCATGATAATCCCTAACCGATTATGGGATAAAATACAGGTTGTCCCATTAAAAAATCATAAGTAAGGGTCGTTTCTGCCGAGACCGGCAGTGATTGAACAAAAATTGTTCCGTCAATTAATGAACAATTTGATATACTTGCTACCCACCAATTTTCGAAATCCGATCTAGAATGATTCAGAAGATACAGCACAGGCCGTTTTTTATGCACTTCTCTGTTTATTTTATAATATATTCTAATTTTTGTTGAGCCCACTAGAAAATTATGTATAGAGTTTTGTTTTGGATTTTCTATTCGTTTGTAACACCTATTTCGGTAAATAATCAAACAAATAAATAAATAAATGAATGAATAAATTACTGAATGAATAAATGAATGAGTCATTCTACTTTGAGTATTTTGCTTTTTCCTACTCAATCAATGAGTATTGAAAATCGAGTTAGCAATGTATGAATTGAAAAATACAGAGAGATTCAAAGTCATTACAACAATAGTTCATGAAGTGAACGAAAATGGTAGATAAAAAGAGAAAACCAACTACTTTCCTGGCTATATGCCACGCAGAACATTGGATTACATCCTCCTGAAATCTATGCAATAATTCGTATAGACGAATAAAATCGCAAGTGTTTCCTTCCTAAATGCCGAGCTGCGCCTAAGTGATTCAGGAACGCGTGACTACCTGCAGGCCGGGTTCGAGCTGTTGACTCTCATCAGTACAGGGCTGTCCCAGATAGGCTTGACCGCTATCTGGTGCGAACCTGACTCAACGTAAACACATCTCAGCATTTACACCCAACGAGGCTTTCGAAGTCAGCGAAATGAAACGTGAACGCCGAACGCCACCGGGCAAGGAAAGAAACACTCCAATACAAAATCCCTTTTTTAGGCGAAATTGGAGTGGCTGGTTGCCTGACTGGCGTATTTCAGCATTTATACCCAACGAGGCGTTGTGTTTACGTTGGGTCAGGCTCGTACCAGATAACTGTCAAGAACCAAGAATCTGGGACAGCCCTGTACTGATGAAAACCAACAGCTCGATACTGGTCTGCAGGTAGTTACGCGTTCCTGAACCACTTAGGCGCAGCTCGGCGTTTAGGAAGGAAACACTTGCGATTTTATTCGTCTATACGAATCATTGCATAGATTTTGGGAGGATGTTATTCAATGTTCTGCGTGGCATATAGCCAGAAAAGTAGTTGTTTTTCTCTCGTTATGTGGAAATGACTTCGAGTTTCTTTGTATTTTTTTCAACCATTGCATTCCACTTTGAGTATTAGTCTTTTTCCTAGTTGAATGTATGAATTATTCAGAAGTTGTAGATATAATGCGTTTCCCAACTCTTGTTGTACAGAAGACTCATGTTATTATGTGAAAATTTCACAGTACATTGTGATTGCTACAGGTGGTGGTGGAGGTGTTGGACGCCAACGACAACGACCCGAAGTTCGCCGACAAGGAGTACGAGTTCGCCGTGGAGGAAAACTCGCGGAGGGGCACGTTGGTGGGGAGGGTGTTGGCCCACGACGCCGACAAGGGGGTGAACGCCGCCTTGCGGTACAGTCTGATACCGGGCAACAGCAGCTTCCATATCAACCAGATCACGGGTGAGTTCTCATTATTTCATCTGCACAATGAATCATTCGCACTTGCGGGAAAGAAAGCGATAGGGTCCCAATATATAATAGGTCTTTAGGTCTTTATTAGGCGAAAGTTTAGTATGAAACTATTCTTACACTTTAACCTATCTGATCCGTACTGAACCTTTGGTCTTACAACTACTGTGTATAGCCAGCGCATAATATTTTGGTTAATACCCCAAGTTTTCCCAATGACTCTCCTCAATCGCCAATGGATTGCCACCGAGCTCCATGAGGATCTGTGGTCCTATGGCAAAAAATAGTAGGTTCCTATGGGTTGCGTGCAAGAACTGTCAGATGACCGACCCTGGAGGCACAACATTGAAACACAACCTTACTCTTTTAATTTGTTTACAAGTTATTGAAATAGTTTTTCACAATTATGTTGGCATACGAATCGTATTTTTCGGCTATCCATTAATTCGCTCTGCCATCACATCGTGCTGTAGTACAATTCACAAAAACTGCAGCGGAAGACGGAGGAGTATGGTTGGTACATTATGATTCAAAAGTAAGTACCTACCTACTATAGTAACTCACATATAGTTTTCATTTTTGAAATTTGGTAATTTCTCTGTTTTCTCATCGGAATTCTTTCTGCAATAGGAACTTACAGAAATACCCGGGCAATTTCTAAAATAATGCAAGAAGATTGGATTCATGCAATCAAACGGGAGGACTGGTCTGACATGCAGACGAAATATGATCGTGTGTGTTGTAGACATTTTCAATCTATTAGCAGTATTAACTTATATTGCAGAAGTGGCAGAAGGAATTTTGATAAGGAATGACAACATTTCATAATGAAAACTATGTGAGATTACTATTTACCTGAAAAATCATATTCCCTCGTCTTTCACTGCATTTTTTGTGCATTGTACAACAGCACACAATGCGTGCTTGAATTAATGAATAGCGCAAAAATACGATTCGTATGAAAAAATATTGTGAAAAACTATTCCAATATTTTCAATCCTCTGTGAACACATAAAAAAAGTGAGGTTGTGTTTCAATAATTCACAGAAGAGTGAGGTTGTGTTTCAATATTTTACCTCCAGGGTCGGTCATCGTGCACGCGACCTATAGTGGGGATTGAACTGACATCGTCTTCTTGTGAGGAAGCTGGACCAAAATTAGATACCAGTTCCGGTTCGGGACTAAGGAAAATCAGAAAAGTCGGTTGCGATTCAGTTACGGTTCCCAGAATATAATTTCGATTCAATTCGGCCATTTTTTTTGGTCCAATGGTTTCTTTTCGGCCTTATATACAGTACGTCGTGGTGTGATACAGTTTGATACCGGACAAGTTTTCGTTATTCCGTCTGCGCATTGGAAAAATACAAACAGAGATCACAGGGAAGAAGTTGGAATGTCACAATATGTAGTGCAAATTCAACTGACACAGTCTTCTTCTGGAATGATCTGGACCCAAATGAGATACCGGTTCCGGTTCGGGTCCAAGGGAATCAGAAATTTTGATTCCGATTCAGTTACGGTTCCCAGAATATAATTTCGAGTTGGTTCTGCCATTTTTTTTCGGTCCAAAGGATTCTTTTCGGTACTTTTTATACAGTATGTCGCGGTGCGGTACAGTCTGAAACCTGGCAACAGCAGTTTCCAGATCCACTTGATCACGGACGAGTTTCTTAATTATATTCATCTAGGTACTCACTGATTCAAAAGAAGGCGTTGGCACCCTCATCAGGGAAAAGACGTTGTCAATCAACTTTCACGGGAGCGAACAAATATTAACTCTCGTGGAAAGTCAAATAAATTGCCTTCAGCATGCATCCATTGTCATCGATAGACCTATAAAATATGTTCAATTCAGGTAATCAGTGTCTTCATCACTTATTATTACACGAGACCTTTTATTTTTCGAAGTAAACTTGACATTTCAATGAGAATTTGCCTTATGTTCTTTTGGCAGTTTTTCGAGTTAAATTTCCTAAAGGCAACAATTATCGAATTATAAATTTCTAGTTCACCTCGACCAAAAAATGAATGATCGAGTGACATTCGGTGGGACAATTATTATACAATGACTACGTAAGTCACACTTTCCTTGATAGTTTTTCCAATTTCTCCACTCGCAGACTGTCGAAATCGTCACATTCCATGACACAATCTGACAACGCAAGATCATGGTTTCAAATGTTGGGTTCCGTTCTGTCGCTGGAACACTCTTGGCGAATTTTTTTCACTTATAACACGAGAGCTTTTTTATCGAGAATTTTGTTGCCTGGAAATCATAAGATGAAAATTAGGACGAGTTATTTTTTCTGGCAGTTTTTCGAGTTAAATTTCCTGAAGGCAACGAAACACGAATTATAAATTTGACGTTTTCTTAGACTCCATGGTGAATCGGTGAGACAATTCAATGAATACGTGAATTACACTATTTTGTTGATGGTATCTCCACTCGCAGACTCTCCGAATCGCAACATTTCACATATTGGATATTTTTCTCTGACAACGCAGGATTGAAAAAAGATTGACATAAACCATTGAAGATTCAATCACTATTTTGGTTGACATGGTTTCAAATGTTAGGTTCTGTTTTGTCGCTGGAAAACGTAGGACAAAGTTTTGTCGCTATCATGATGACTAAATCACAGCGGCTCAGGGTTTTTTTATACATGAGTTGAATTATCAGTTATTATTACACGAGAGCTTTTTTGGTCGAATTGAACTTGACTTTTATGAGAATTCTTCTGCCTGGAGATGGAACAAAAACATTCTTCTTCAGTTTTTTAGTTGAATTTTCTGAAGGCATCAATATTTGAAATATAAAAGTTTATCACGACCGAAATAATGCATGAGTGTTATTTTGTAAGACAAATTGATGAATGCGTAAATCGCCTTCGTGTTGAAGGATTTTTCAATTTCTCTACTCCAAATCGCGACAAATAATGTACTACTCGGACAACGCAATATTGAGGAAGAATGACATAAACTCCATGATGGTTTCAATAGCTGGGTTCCATTTTGTCGCTGGAAAACTTTAGGCAAAGATTTCTCGATGTCATCATGACTAAATCACAGCGGCTTATGGGAATTTTTATTAATGAGTTAAATTATTGTCGCTCATTATTACAAGACAGTTTTTTTTGTCGAATTAAACTTGATATTTCATAGAGAACTATTTGGTCTGGCAATGAAAAGAAAAAAAGATTCACCAGTTTTTTCAGTTGAATTTCCCAAAGGCAACAGAATTCGAATTATAAATGTCAAGTTTATCACGACCTAAAAAATGCATGACTGTAATTCCTCAAGACAATTTGATGAATGCGTAGGATCTTTCAATCACTCTACTCCAAATCGCGACATTTCCACAGATAATATACTATTCTGACAACGCAAGATTGAGAAAGATTGACATAAACGCCATCATAGTTTCAAAAACTGGGTTCCGTTTTGTCGCTGGTGAACTTTAGTCAAAGTTTTCTCGCTGTCTCATGACAAGATCACAGCGGCTTATGAGAATCTTCATTCAATACGTTTCTTCATATTCCGAATGATCTTTCAATCAAAACTAAATTACGGGAAAACAAACATATCGATATGAAGTCTACTTCAGCTACTTTGCTATATATACTTGGGCAATAACAGATTTCAACCTAGTTAGATGATATACAATGTACTATACAGAGTGTTATTGAATGAATGCGATCCAGGGGGTGATTCCTTTTATGATATTTTAGGAAATAAAGTGTATATGAACATGTGTTCTTACCTGCTCCGTTTTCGAGATACAGAATGTTGAAGTTGGAAGTATTATTTGATTGTATTCATAACCTCCCTCATGGTGGAAAACTTTAAAATAATTGGATACTGACAAAGCCCCAAAATTTCAAAATGATTCTTATCTGGGTTATATTCAAAAATCTCAATGGATGTCGTGAAAACATAATAAAATTTGGTGTTAAATCGAATTTATATTGTTTCCTCAGGAGCTAAGCTATATACAAAAATCACACAAGAATAAAAACATTCTTATTTCAATAGGTCAATAAAATAAAAATATGGAAAATTCAGTTGCGTAACATAAATTTATATAAATTTACCCACTGTGATGCCACTGGAGATATTATTTTGAATCTAATTGCACCAAAATAAGATTCATTCCACTATTAACAAAACCATAATGCTTCATTGGAATTGATGGAAAAATATCAGTTATCAATAAAAAAACAATTTTTCATGGAAATCTCGAGAACGAAGCAATGTTAGGACACATGATTTTGAGTTTTGTTGCACTTATTTAGAAACACCCTTTATTATAATATGACATCAGAAGAGAAGTTGGAACTGATTGTATAACCTCCATCAGGATGGCAAGATACATTCATTTTGACCTTAAAACTCACATTCTTTGTACAGAATTTGATTTATTTCACTTATTTCAGAGCGTTCCGGAAATAATCAGAAAATATTCCTCTCTAGCAACCATATATTCAAGCATATGTATAGTTTCCCCAAATGGAATAAAGTTTCTAGTCCTCCGTTGATAAACATTTTTTGACTCATTCTCGGTTGTAGGAGCGGTTTCATTAGCCAGTGGCGGCTCCTCAGAGGAGGCAACGGAGGCTGAGCCTCCTTAGAGATTTTCCTTGAACTGATATTATCTATACTCTCTCATTGAAAGGACACCAAAATACATGGATTTTGATTTTATTTCCTGTTTTTAGGTAAATATTTTTGAATTGGCAACAGTGCTTGCCCACGCATCACACGTTGTAGTCTGCAAATCACGCGTAAAATATCCAACTTGGCAACATCTATAGAAGGCTAGACTCCTTTCACAATGCGCAAGCGCAACCTTGAGCGCAACCCACTCGCGCAATGCAAATGCCCGAACACGCCCGAATAGCACGTGTTTGTCGTGTCGCGTCGCGAATTGCGGGCATTGTTTATGTTTATGTTGATGAATTTCTGTGAAATGAGTGTTTTAAACGATTGCAATT